TATCCATAAATAACTGATCATCGTTCTTATGAAAATGATAAAAAAAGATTAATATCCGGTTCAATGAAATGCATCGATGTACGTAATGATTTGATAGGATAAAGATAATAAATGACGATAATAATAACGAAGATTGATTTGTATGAATAAATGAATGATCCATCAAAGTACCATCATCAAAAATGATCAAGATCATACTATCAATCGATCGATAATGCAGCCAATAAGAATATTATCAGACCCGTTCATGTCACACCATTAAAACGAGCATATCAATGCGTATGAGCAAACTGAATACAACAACCTGGTCCATAGACTGCGAATCATCAAATCGAATCGATACTCCACAATAAAAAAGATAAAGCAAGCACATAACCACGATAATCAATGCCCCAATCCCAGAAGCATTCTTCATTTTATTTCATCTCGAAACACGAAATTAACACAACATTCTCTTCAATCCATTATCACAACCTAACTAACAACCACCGACGAACCACCCAACCAAACAACGTTCGACTAAAAACCATCCTCCGAAGGTCACCACCACATTACTGCGTTGTTCATACAACCCACCGCACACTTTCACATATCTATCATCTATCTTCTCTTCTTATTCCACACCTTCACAAAACATCCGATCTGCTAACAATAAGATAATAACCAAATACTGCTATCCAACAAATATTCATAAAATCCATGAACAATAAATTCAACTCGCGAATCTCAACCATTCCCAGGAATAACCCATTTAAAAATGCAACAAACCACCGCTCACCCAACAAAATCGTATCCAAATCCGACCCACCCAGCCAATCTCTGAAAAACATCCTATAATCAATCTAATCCTCCTTTAAAATGTCACCATCACCATCATTTCCGTAGATTTACAACCCAAAGATCATCACCTTCAGTTGCACAAAATAAATCCAACTCATCCACTTCCTCGTTCATGAAAACCAACAAAAACAAAAATTTTAATAAATGCAATTAATCGTGACCAATTATCGAATCAATTCCACGAAAACAAATCAATCAATTAATCAGCCAACAAATATACACACAAATCACCAGTATATCACCAAACAAAACTATCTATTATATACTCAAACATTCAACGCATCATCATAATAAAGTATATAACAACACGAACGTATCGATTTATTACTGCTGCAGCAGCAGCAGCAGCATCAGCACAGAATAGATGAAATGAAGAACGTCAATTGAGCTGTTCGTGCTGTTACTGCTCACTCAATTCAGTTGAACACTGCAAAATAGCACTTACTGCAGCAGTGACATGCACGCATATATCTTAATACATATGCCGAACATTTCAGCCTCGCACACATCAAAACCCTTTGGATTTAGAACGGGGTATTAACCAGGTAGGTACTGCACTTCGTTAGATGCTCTTTTAACGAACCACGGGTGCAAACACGGCTAAACACAACCAACCCTCTTTCAACCTCTCTACTTCCACCAATTAGCATCTCCTCCCAAAACCCTCTCTCATAAATCCCCGATATATCCATCCATTCATCTATTGGACGCTCATAAGCCTTTCAACTCCTTGACCTCCTCATAATTGCCTTTAACACCAAATATCTCCCTTCAAACAACTTATATCTTCATCATCTCCAAAGTCACAGATTCATATTACCCACATCCATTTTTATCAAACATATTTCTTATCTTCTTTCAGCTGTCCTCGTGAAGTCCCACAAAAACTGGAAATTTTCTGCAAAAAGCACCAAACATCACAGAAATAAATTTCGCGAATTCTTCTCTATTTACCATAAAAATCAGCAGATTATTTCGTGCAAAAGAATGAAAGCAGCAGCACCAGCCTCTTTATCTGCACCAATCGACGAACGAATCAACGAGCACATAAATAAATAATTGCAACCACCACCCAATCACGCAACAAACCGCAAATACAAAAACCAAAAACTAAAACTCTCAAGCAAACACCACCAGCTAACCACACAAACACACACGCAACATATCCAAATTCCCCTTCCTTTCCCCATTCTCCACCAAGTTACTCTCAAAATCCCTATCAATATTTTCATTCCAGTCATTCAACTCTCACCAACTTAACCCAACAATTCAAACAATTTCAATAATTTCCAAAAAATCAACAGCGTTATTCAAAAAAAAATTGCGACAGGAATAAATGTTAAACAAAGCCAAACTCAATTCACAGAAACCGTTCACATCAAATGCCATCAACATCAGCAATCTATCACTACTATCATAATTATCACTAATCCATCCATCTATCCGTCCACCCAACAAACAGTTTACAAATGTCCCTTCTCATCTCATCACCACATTTACATGATTATGATTATAAGTACAAATTACAAAACAAACATCATCATTCAATACCATTTAATAACCGTAAACCGCATTTATACATTCACTCTGTTAGCAAATACATTCAACGAAGGGATCGATGCCCCTACTAAACCTTTCACGGGAAAGTCAAAACTAAATCATAAATTAAGAAATTCACTGAAAAATCGAATGCGAATGAGCGCAGCATTAAATAATACTTACTATTAGTAGTAATATAAATAGTAATAAGAATAAAACAATAGTTAGTAATAAGAATGAAATAATAATATGACTAAATAGTTTCAAGCGCAATCAATCACACCAAATATTTACAATTAAACGTTATTTTTAAATGATTTCTGAATAGATTAAGTGCTCTCCCTTGTATTTGATACAATGTACTTTCATTCAATCCAATCCCAGCAACCAATTTAACTGTATTTTTCGAATTTGTTCAATGAAACGCATCTGTATTTGTATCTATCCGTATCTGTTCTGCTCAATCTATCATAAAAACAACAATGATTACAGTTATTATGACCATGATAAACCATAAATTTCGCGATAATAAATAACAATATCCCATCGCAAATACCATATCCAAGTAATTCCAAATCTCCGAACAAACAGTACCAAACATCCGAATGCATGAATGTAATATGATATAAGCCAATCAACGATATATATAACTAAAAATCCAAATAAACATTATCACAACAAATAAAACTGTAATAAAAGCTGTAATAACACCATCAAATCAATTCAATTCAATCTCCCTCTCCCGACCTCCTCTAATACTAATAACCTCCTCCCCCTCCCCCCAATCATCTTTATCGAATATAGCATCGACAGCACTATCCTCCAAATATAACTCACAACACTAAAATGCTTAATATTATTACACATCAACCTATCTATAATACAAATTAATGCAGTAACTCAATTGAATACACATCCACAAACCAATAATCCCTAATATAATAGCAATCCCAGCACCTCACTACCCAGTCATAAATGAACCAATCTAACCATCTTAACGCATAAATTATTAATGGTTATGATATATACCCGTATTCATTATTCATAAGATAAGCCATTTACTATAGTGCCACTAAAGGCTACATTTATACGATATAATCAATAGAGAGCATCTGTTCAATGGAGCACATTCTAAACGTGCAATATATATTCAAGTATATAGCACAAGATCTAGTCGGATGATAGATAAGTAGAGGAAGGGTATGAATCGAGTCAATGTTACTACAATATAGCAATTATCAGAATCGATTCATTGCGTTCATTTGATCGCTTTCGACGAATCGTCTTTGTGTACGTGTAGCACTTGAAATGTTTTACGCGTTATTTATAGCATGATGTAAATTATAATTAAGATGTTTGTATTTAACACACACACATATGCGTATATGGAAACCATAAAATTTAGAATTGAATGGACGACGAAGATGGGCTTTTAATGCAGCAGAGTAAGTAACGAACAGTGTTTAGTCTAGAAAAGGGGTGTAAAGCAAGCGATTTACATGCCTGATCGCAGAACAAAACGGATGGATAGATGGATGGATAAGTGAAGCGTGATTAGTGACTTAAACAATTAGTTCATACATATCGCTTTGCATTTTTGTCATCAAGAACGCTCGAAACAAGATGCATGGCGCATTGAACCGAATCGCTAGACATTTTTTGTCAATGCAAATGAGTTCATTGATTCTGAGATAAAAACAAACCAGGCAAACAATTGCACGAATAAATGAATATTCAATAATCGTGAATATGAACACAATAATAATAAATAAGTAATAAATGTAAGTGAATAGCAAAACAAAACATTAGTTTGCCAGTAGCTGCCCAGGAACTTTATGCTACACCTAATAATAACAAATGAAATGAAATTCAAACAACTACCAACCTCAAGCTGTTTGAAGGTGAATGATCAAACAACCAACCGTTCCATCAACAGTTCACTATTTCTGCAGCAGATAATAAACCACTTCTTTGCTAATCCATTAATCACAAAACATGATCAATACATCGATAATTCAATCGATTCTCATCACTTTCATTTCATAACTCCATTTCGTTGGCAGTATACAATTGCAATATCTAATCAATTTTCGTGTTTCGTCGAACTGGAAGGACTCAAACTGTTATGTTTGATGAATTACTTTTCAGCGTAAACCTCAGAGGATGTACTATCTCCCTTTGAGAGACGGAAAAATCGTTGCAGCAAATCAACTCCGGAAAATACCAAACAAAGCGACTCAAAGACAAGATAAACTCAAGGTGAAACAGATGAAGTCAAGTTAAACTCTAACTTGAATCAGAATCAGTGGAATTCATTTGAGCAAAGTCAGTGTTGCATCAAACACAAGCTAACCCGTGTAAAGTCTTCAGGGCCTCGTCAATCACTCACGTGTTCAGCAGATTTGTCGAAAAAGAAAGTGCAAATAATCGCTCACAGCGACTCGTCATAGAAACGAAATGCTTTCAGTTATCTCAGTATTATGGTAAGAGAACGGCAAGCCTCATTACTGTGACAGAGCGTTCCGATAAACTGTAACTCAGCTCACAATCTATGTACGCAGCATACATTATAAGAGATCGAATAAACAAGCATTTTCTCAGAAAACCAATACAAATTCGAACGTTTATTCAACAAAAATATGTTAAGATATAAATTGACCCACTCGGAAACCACATAATTACAACGAAAACATTTCGTCTACTTTCGACAAATATAACTTCTCAAAACAAACAGATAAAAACATAAAATGCTGGCCGCATACAGATACAGACAAAATCTAAAAGTAAACAAATCAAATTTTAAAAATCAAAAAATCTGAGGCTTGACATGTGAATCTTCTTTATAAAAGGCGATGAGCAAACATTCAAAATGAACAAAAATAACATTTTAAAAACTCAAATACATAACTGAACACTTGGAAAAACTGACAATAATAATATTATTATACAATAATAATATTACACAATAGTAAAATATCAACAATGATTGAATATGCAATGAAGTATCACAAAAATGTTATCGACCAAATAATGAACAACTCCTGAGAGAAGCATGAATAGATGAAATAAATGGTGATTACATCACACACTCAATAAAACAAAATACTAATTATCACCATGAAATAAAAGTTGCTCGGAGATGCGATCGAACACAACGATCTTGAACAGTCTCATCACTTGATAACTCTCTATCACAGCACTCGCAGCTGACACAATTCCTGATATTATCAGTATCACATTTCCAAAACGCTCTGTAATCATAACACTAACAGTAACAATTAAACAATTAAAATAATAATATAATGATAATGAATAATGTATATGATCAAATTTAGAAGCTGGATGATTCCCTTGCGCTGATGTCGAAAGAAGGAAGAATGTGATACTGGTGATAAGACATAAGTTGTAATTGCTGATTAAATAAGTAAGACAACACACTAACCGGCATAATCCGGAAAATTGATAGATTGATAGAATGCGAACAGAGCCGTGACGACACGATCTCTGTACTCTGTTATACGTCTACGTGTCTCTTCACTCAGATTCGAGCCTCAAACCCAAAAACCATGAATACCACAACAATAACAATAAACAATAATAAAAGCAATCGTCAAAACAAACCCCCTCCATTCATGAAATTCGCACATTGAAACAGCATAATAATCTTCAGCGTCACCAGTTCCTCTGGCATCAAACGTAACCTTCTCAACGGCTTCGCTACCCCATCGATACACGAATCAGTCATTTGTTTATACAACTTCTCCTGACGCCAACGTCGTTCTTCTGATATCAGATCCTTAATCATCACTATTTCACGCACCACATACAAGTATCATAATAGCGATAGCAATAATAATAATAAGAACAATACCTTCGTTTCCTGTGGCAGCTCATTAACATTTCTCGGCATACATGTCCCATTCGATATCAACCAAACATCTTCCACACCAAACTGCGCCGTGTAATACCCATGTTCCAATACTAAATGATGCACTGCGAACCTTAAAATTTATTTTTGACCATCTTTACCCACTGTTGCTATCCTTTACATCAAAAACTGCTTCAACAGACACGTTCAAAACGCATTCGAACTTCAAAACTGAAACTAACTGCTTCAACAGATTCAATCGATCTGTTAAGGGTAAATCTGGGAAGCACGGCAGAGTTTTGGCCCATTCCATCATCGTTAAAAGATCTATCTGAGTAACGTTCGCGATATCATTGCCCAGTATTATCATCATTCGATCGTGTGCCTTTAATTATTGCCCCTGATCATCGGTAATTACAACCGCAACAAATTCACATCTATTGAATGAGAACTTACTGACTCTCCACTTCCTTGTTTCAACATCTCTGCCAATTTTTTCGCTTCATTTTTCGCTCGGATAATTTCAAACTTGCGTTCTCGTATCTCACGATCCACGAACGTCAACTGAGATATTAAATCGACCAGTTCATTATTGACGAACGATAAGTTATTGTTACTGACGAACGAAGATGCTGACAAACGGTCGGAATTATTTGACAGCGCCAATTCATTCGACGATGATGACTGCTCTTTGGATCGGAAACGTCGACATCCGATCAAATCTCGCCGAGGTTGTAATGCTTAAAGACATTCCAATTCACTTGCAATTTATTACTCATTAACCAAATTGAAATACGATTAAGATAGCAATTTTAATGAACACTTATTCGGAATTGAACGTCACTGAAAAAGAATCGTATCAGAGACGAACCCTCCTTGGTCATACCCATCTCCAGGCATTTCTTGTAACGACATGCCCTGCATGCCTTACGAGCACCCTTATCGATCTGACAGCATTCACTTCGTTTACACTTTATATCTTGTCGCTGCACCACTGCTCTGCAATACACCCGTACAATAACACACCATCAATAAATCAAATCAAGAAACAAACCTTCGAAAGAACGTCTTACACCCAAGACATGCCACAACTCCGTAGTGTTTACCCGTTGATTCCTCACCACATATCACACAACTACCAATCACCACTACATAATAAACATATTATCGAAATAAAATGATTATTAATTAATGGAACACACAACATTTCTTCATATTAACAATTCATAATGCTCCCACCATAACTATAAATGCTTTCAGCGAATTGATATTCAATAAACATCTTCAAAACACGTAAAAATTTCCACAGTTTCTGCAACTTACAAACGAACTCAATTGTAAAACATCAGTAGCAATAAACAATAAAAAATGAGGAAAGCATAAAACCATTACAACGTCAAAATGAAAATGAAACTTACCAGGTTTAACGGTCGGTGTACTCATTGAATAGACATTTATAAAGAAAGTGATAACGATGTAATGAAGAAAACACACCTATGAAGTGATAATGATAACGGTAAGCATAATATAAAGGCAATTCATAAACACATTATTATTGAAAACAAAGCAGGTTTAATTAAGTACGCTGACAGTTCGCCAAGCACGAAACGAGCGACTGTTCGCCAAGTGACACAGCCCACATTTTTAGTTGATAGGTGTTCAGAAATGTGAATTTCTTGACGATTAAACGACAAAACCGACCACAATGTATCAAGTATTCTGAATGCTGACAGTCTTCGAAACCCACTGGTAACAGGAATTTTGGTGTTACTGGTTAAACTTGGGAGTACGGAAGACGTGAAGATGGCAACCCCTATAGAATTGATATAGCATTAAGAAAATAGCTATATCTCCTCAAATACGCAGAATTGCTCTGAGGAACATGTGATATTTAGAATCTGGAGATTCCGCTGGATCGAATGGTGTAAAGAAATTAAGATGTTACTGGGCAAACCTTAGAGTAAGCTAGCATCGAAGACGACAACCGTATACTGCTATAGTAAAGCATATATTGATCTACAGCAATACAATGTATATGGTTGAGCGCCAAGGCGATAGTTCATGTAGCCTTAATAAAACAGCTATATCTTTTCAACTAATCATAATTGCTCGGCAAAATATATATTATTCTGAAAGCAGAGATTTTCAGCAATCGAATGGTGCAAAGAAATTCAAATGTTATCGGGCAAACCTGAGAGTATGGTTACCTTGAAGATAGTAACTCACTAGAGCCATAGTAACGATTGATATTGATCAACAGCGATAAAATGAGTATGAATAATAGCCTTTGTGCTTGTTACTGATTGAGCTTTATGAAAATAGCCACATCTCCTTAAGAAACTTGGGAGTACGGAAGCCTTGTGTACTTGAACATCTTTCAGAATTGCTCAAAGCAGCACTGAATCAATATTGATCATTCTGTACATAACTATAGCAGTATTAGGATACCATCTTCAAACATTTTCAGCAAGAAACTGGACGATGATATAATGAAACGGTACATAAAGTTTCGTTTGGGAATGCCTAGTTAACGTGTACTACACAACAGCGAAGATATTGGCGTATTTGTGTAATGCCCAGATCAGAATGCATCCTCATCGAAAGTATAATACTATGCGACAAGTTCTTGAACGTTCCATCGTTATATTCTCATAATATATTGCAGATGATGAAATAAATACATATATAAACCACATCATTCTCCCTCTTTCAGTGTTCACTGAACTACTCATCTCTTCAATCATTCGCATTTGAATCGCAATGTATGAATACGCACACAATATGAATACGACCTAGCTAACCGACCAAGTAATTGAAAGCGGTGAAGATTGCGGTCTGTAAGAAGCACTTGTTCTCTTTCTCACTATCAATTGGGTATGAACATTCTAGTGACTGGGACCTGGTTACGTCGGGCGATTTTGTTTACTCCAGGAAATAATGACGATTTCTTGGAGCCATTTTGAGTAGCTGAGCCACTGATTCTAATACATCATATTCGCAATGATCAACGTGCACATGAGGCTAGCTGCATCGGGATCACCACTTTCAAACAAACTCTACCCTCAGGTTTACCCAGAAGTATGCCTATTTTTCTCCATCAGAGGATTCCCAAATCTTCAACATTCAGACAAGGATGCATGTTCTTATTTTCACGATCCACGCCCGCATAATTTCGTCCTCAACTTTTTTTCCTTAATCGCGACACGCTACTGTGAACTGCCATGGCACTGCTTAGATGTGAGGGTTTACCTGTGGTTTCAATAATGCCTGTCGGACATTCCCGAACCTCGCCCCATCTATTGCCATTTCCACGGATTGAGGACATCCAAATACGCCATAAAACCTTGCAAGTTAATGTGGCTGACCATTGGCGACCTACAGCATATCACAACACTAGTCCAACCATTACCAAAATACACTACGAGTCTTCGAACCACCTTTGCAGCAACCAGTAGTCCGGGCAAACTTTACAAATCTCCTGCCACACCCATAAGTCTCTCTATACTCTACGGCATTGAAACACAAATTTCTATTCCTGTACTGACCGTTCCAATATGCCTAATATCAATGTTATCTCATACGCATCTCTCCCGTTCCAATTTGCTTCCTAAAGTAACAAACGTGCTTTCAGGAATGGCCAAGTTCGTGAGCTTGTTTCTCATTTGGGGTGCAAATAAGTTTCCGCACTTGAGGACATACTAGGAAGCCAGACCCTCTTCCCCTGTT